ATTTTTTTTTTCTAGAATGATTGTTGCATGGAAAAGCTGTTCCATTTTAACAGTAGAGTTACTCTATCCTGTGGACTGTGTTAGGGGAGCTTGAAAGGAGCCACCGCCTTTTGAACATAGTTCTTGTTTGAGAGTCGCTTTGGATCCTGGAGTTATGCCCATGTAACTGAGTTTTCCCAGGGCGCTGTGTGAATGCTAAGCTGTGTTGTAATGAATTCGAGTGGGCAGCAGCATAAGCCTGCTCTCATTTTCCCTGGAAGACGCTGCTGCATTGTCTTGTCTGTATCCTGAAAGCCTCAGTGTTATTTGTCAAAGGCTTGATTCTGCAAGTGCCACGTATGCAAAGAAGCCCGTGAATAGGAAGGGCTTGCCGTGCTGGTTCTCAGCTCCTCACATAATGCCCAGAGCTGGGACAACCAGCAACAGGCTGAAGCAAAGCAGTTTTTGTTAAGCTCTTGGTATTCCGTGGGCATCTGCTCTCCCACACATGAGAAGCTTAAAATTGTCTAGTTATGTTCTGATAATGCCCAGGAGTCGCTTTCTGCTCGGCATATACACGTGCTTAGATATGCCTGTGTTTCTGAACCATAAATAGAGGGACTGGGCAAAGCTTGGCAAAGTGAAGTGGTTTTCTCATGACTGTATCTGTGCTGGTGGCAGGTCTGCATCTCCCAGTTCCCAGGCTAGTATTTTGGCCCTGAACCACCTTGTTTGCAGAGTGTATATGTTTGTTCTTATCTCTTTCTCTTGTCCCCCATGCATGCAAGGGAAGACAAGTGATGTAACTGTACAAAAACTGGGATGTGGATGTTGGAGTATTGCACGCTGGCATTAGCATCTGCTGTAGGTGTTCATGCAGTGCAGTTAGATCAAAAATCCATGCTGATAGCATTAGGTGTGATGGTGGACATGGGGCGTGGGCAACCACAGAACTATCATCTGCTGAACCAAGGCAGGCAAGGGACGGTAGACTTGGAAAAGGTCAGCTTGCACCCACAGGGTGGGTGTGGGAAGGAAGAGTTCCTGCCGAGGGGCCTGAAGTACCACAGGGCTGAATCTCCTTTCTCTGGTGTCTAAAAGGAAGGGGTCTTTGGCAAGGGTGGGAATATCTTCTGTATCAGCACCTGCTGAGTCTGAGGTACGTGTGGGTCCCAGGCAGCCCTTCTCCCGCAGACTGCTGTGTTTGAAGGGATTCCTCGGATGTTTGTTTCCGAGGGTGTGCCCCATGTGAGCAGACAGGAAGGAGCCTTGGGCCCTGGCGTAACCTTATCTCAGCTACTTCTAGGAAATGATGTAAGCTGCTTCCTTTTCTCTAAACGCTTCCTGAATTCTGCTGACGGGTGGCTTACTGACTGTTTACCTTTTACCTTTTGAGATCAGCTCCTCTGGAGCTGTGAGAGCTGACCCTGTTCTGTTCTATGCTTCATTTATTTGGGGGAAAATGTGCTTCTTGCTGATTAAGCCTCTCAGAGTGTGCTGGCTTAGAGCCACGTGCTGTAGAGGTAAAGGTCAGATGACTTTTACCGAAGCGGTTTCGGTGAGGTCAGTGCAGGACTGAGGTTACGGCCAGCAGCAGCAGCCGCCGAGCTGTTCACCTTTTCCTGGCAATCTGAATTGCAGTCAGGAGCTGCCTGACGTGTGCCTCACAGCAGATGTCTGTTCTTAATGCACCTGGCTGTGAAACCACGACAGTTTGGGAGGTGATTCATGGGCTCTACCTCCACTGTAAACACTCTTTTGCGTAGGATTTAGGATTTGTCCCAGTGTTGTGATTGAGCAGCCTTGGTAACAGGTGCAACCGCTGAAGCAAGTGCACCCTAAGAAATTTTTATCTGAAGAGGTGCAGCAGGCCCGACAGTGCGTGTACTGGGGGGGAATTATAATGGATCCATATGTATGGTTTATTTTATCAGTACAGGGACAGTGCAATAAAGGAAATGCCATCAGTTCTCTTGGGCAGCATGGAGACCTGACTCAAACTTGCTTTCATAATAAAACTGTAAAATTAAATCAACACAGTGCAAGAGTTGAGGTGTTTTTGAGGCACTTAGCACCCTCTGGATACATCTGATCTTGTGCCCTTTGATTGTGGCAGCTGCAGTCTCAGCTGAAGAACAAATGTGCCAGTTCTGCCTCGCTTATTTGTGAGCTAAGTGCCAGTCTCTGAAATGAGCCTGTCTGCCCTCCGATGAAAGCATGGGATTGTTTTGTCCCCCTTTTAGGTGTCTAAAATGTGGGTCACTGAGATGCAGGGCATACCAGTGTGATAATTTTAGGCCTGAAGGGACAGAGTTGGCCATTGATGCCTGTTAGAGTGTGAAAGTCAGGACTTCTAGGTCAGCTATTACCCATTGATGAGCTTGATGCAAGCGTTGTTTAAAGCCTCTGCTTTAAACAGAGCAGAGGTCTTGGCTTTTGGGGAGAAAAAATGATGCCTACCCATAAAAGAGTTGTGGGATTGCTTGGGGAGAATTCAGAAGGGGTACATGGTGTGGTGCATCTCCTGGCTGTGGTCAGGAGCTGGGCCTGCCTGAGCACGTCTCTTCGCCCTGCTCTGCTTGGCAGGACCATGAGCACCAAGTCATCATTTTCATCAGTTTCTGAGACCTGGTGTGTGTTGAGACCTCACGTGTCCTGTGTCCCCCTGGACTCTGTATTGCTCTGTTACTGAGCAGCGATATAAAAAGCCCATGTTGGGTTGCGTTTCTCACACTGGCTAATAGCCGAGCAACAATGCCAGTGGCATCCAGTGGCCCAAGCAGCTGAAGAGGGGAGGTCCTCACCCAGAGAGTGTGGCCCCTCTGTCTTGGTGTGGGAAGTTGGTCCTCTGAGCACCTCCAGGATAGAAGCGCTCTTGTATGACGTGACCATGTAATTTTATGAGAGAGGCTGATTCTTCTTGTGTCAGTTTGAGAAGACAGAGGGAGCAAAACGATGTGGATAACTTCTGTTACCTGCATGTTTTACAGGAAAGCAGGAGTTACCTAGGACTCCACATAGGAAGAATAAATTGAATTTTAATCTCTGCAGCACTATGTTAGTGATTGACCTCGGCGTGTTTGTCCTCATTCATTGCATGCCTTTGCAGCTCTAGTAGGAGTTGTAGTGTGCATCGCTGTGTTGGCAACAGGAGGCAAAATCTCTTTAAGAACTTTTTACAAGCAAAAATGCAAACTGGTAGCTGTAAGTTTTAATATCCTTACCAACTGTAGTCCTAAGTGAACTTGTGGCATTAACTGCTGTTTCGGTGGAAGGTACAAAATACAGCCAAAATTTCTGGTCTCACAGCAGGCTGCTGCCCGAGCATTTCCAGAAGCTGGATAAAATTACGTTGCTTGTTGCGGCAGGTCTCTGTGCTGAACGATGCTTGTTAGGGATCGTTAACATCCTGCTGGCGGGTGCCAAGTCTGGATGCCGCTGTCAGAAGGGCTGGGCGATGAAGCCCAGTACTTAGCAGCAGTTTCAGGGGCGGTCTCCATGTTTATTTATGCCGAGTGTGTTCTTATGTTTGTATCCTGCAGGTCGTATTGATCATGGACAGTGAAGAAATCCCAACTTTTTCAAGTCCAAAGGAGGAAACTGCATACTGGAAAGAGCTTTCCCTAAAGTACAAACAAAGGTACTGTTGTAGATTTGCAGGCTGGGTTTCGTTCTTAATGACCAGAACGTTGTTTAATCTGTTTCTCTACAAGGGTACACCAAGATGGGTATTAGATATTTTAGAAAGGAGCTCTGCATTTCCATCTTTAAATCGAGCTTTAAAGTTTCTAGCCTTGTGGAAGCTGAGTGTTTCTTGCACAGCGTTACAATGCCATGAACTCCAGGGTATGTTTCAAGCATGTTTGAGCAAGAGCAAAGCCCTTTTGCCGTCATGTGCGTCTTTGTATAATTAGAGTGCTGCCTTAAGTAATTATCTTGGCGTTTTATCATAAGAAGGCACCTTTGGGCTTGCCTTGTATCATTACTGTTCCTTCAAGCTTCTTGTAGTTGAATTATTGGTATGAAAAGGGGCTGATTTGGTGTCTGCTGCAATTTATTGAAGTGTATTGTACCTCATAGTCCAGCCTGCCCCAGTGGTTTACATCTTTTAGAGGGCACAGGGCTTTTTGGTTACCAAAAACCACAAGAGAGGTTGTTGTCTTGAGTAACGCTGTGCTTCTTGTGGGGGTGGAGTGAGTTTGGGGTTTTTCTGGAGTGGGGGGCGTTGGAGGCTCCCAATTTATTTTCGTTGGAAAGCTTTCCTTGCCTTCAGTATTACTCATGTGCAGTTGAGATGAAGCCAGTTAAAGTGCTCTCAAGCCCAAAGAGCCCAAGGTGCAAGTTGATTTTGGTTGGTTGGTTTTGGTATTTTCTGGGGGGAGAGGGGTGGACATGTGGAGGAGCTTGTCCATATGGAGAAACCTAAGCTGGTTTGGGGCATCAGAAAATTCTGTCTCTTGGATACCAGTGGATATGTTGTTTCCTAAAACCTTGTTAGTTTTATCTGCAGATTGCTAAGAGCTGAGCTATTACATATGGTAAAGATGCAAATTTAATAAGCAAAGTATGTGGGGTGACTACATCTAGTATTTAATAACTTGCAGTGGTATAAAGTAGGTATGTGCTGGCTTCCTGCCGCAGTGCTCAGTAACCCTGAGATTCAAACCTTCATGCTTTTCAGGAACCTTAAATTTCCAGGTAGCACAGATGTCCAGAAACTGTTGTTCTGTTTTACTGTTTTTGACCAAAGCCAGGTTGAATGTTTGTTTAATTCAGTGACTTTAATCTCCTAGCAGTGAAATCTAATGGAGTACAAAGTGTTGTCAGATTCCCATGGATCCTGTAAATAGCTTTGATACCAGTTTGTATTCACACATGCATTTAATGTAGCTGTTTGTTTGATGTAAGAAAATTAATTTCCTTTTATAGTTAAGCTTAATGATGTATTTTCTCGATTTCCTCATTTTTCTTTTTCCCCTTAGAGGTCTATGGATGACACTTAAGTGCTTTGAAACTCTTGGTTTTTCAGCTTATTAATTTAAAAGAGCTGTGGATTTTGTTTTAACTTGGGAGATGCTGGATTTTCAATTGATTAAATTCTCTCCTTGCAGCTTCCAGGAAGCTCGTGAAGAGCTGGCTGAATTTCAGGAGGGAAGCAGAGAATTAGAAGCTGAGTTGGAGGCACAACTAGTGCAAGCTGAGCAGAGGAATAGAGATTTGCAAGCAGATAACCAAAGACTGAAGTATGAAGTAGAAACATTAAAGGTAAGTCTTTTCTGTAATAGCATTGCCTCTTCTTACAGATATGTCTTGGATCTCATTTTAGATTGTCTGGTCTGTTCTTGATCACTGAACATCCACATGAAGTAAAGGAGTTGTGTGTTTAAGATCCAGACTTGAATATGGCATGTACTCCAAATAAGGCCAGACACTTACCAGGGAAATTTCTGGTGGAATTTTTCTTGTTCACATCGTGAAACTCTCGTTGTCGGGGCTGTGCTTGTTTGTTTGAATTCTCTAGGCCTTGACAAGCAGTAGCTTTGTGGGTTACACAGGCAGCATCAGCATAGCAATGGTGGACAACACACGTATGTTTTGTCAGACCACTGTGTTATCTTTCTTTGCATACGAGTGTTTTTGCCCAGAAGGTCTCCTTGGTTTTATGAGACCTTAAAGAAAGCTGAAGATGGGTGACTTGTGCATGTTTTTCAGAGAGAGTCTTCTAATTCATTCTTAACAGCCGTATCTGTGGAGACAGGGATTGCATAAGGATCTGCATGTGCAGAAGGTGACTTTTAATTGACGTCTCTGTGTTAACAAGTTCCTGCCTCTTTTAGAATCTTGGGAAAGTATCATTTTTGGTAGTCGGGTTATTTTAGTGAAGGTTAAGGTTGGAAATTTACCCAATGGAAATAAAGTTAATGGGATTACTTGTTTGTATATCCAGTCCCTCCTATATCTGTAGGGTTAGTACGTGTTTTATGAGGTCAGGTTCTTACATAAGCACCTACGTGTACCCTCAGAGCTGTGTTTTGTGAGTGAATTCTTCCAGTCTTTTGACTATGAGCTTGTGGACCTGGAGGTTTTGTAACAGATTTCAGTGGCTCTTATTTTTGGCTAATGGAGATGTCAGACAAGTTCTGGTAACAGTGTGGCTATTGTCAAGGGAGAGGCACTGAAGGGGAGGCTGTGCAGTTAGGTTTCTTTCTGACTCCTTAGATGTTTGAGGTTTCAGAGCAGCTGTCAGTGCAGGCTGTTGGGAACAGATGCAGGGATGCATCTCTGAGCAGCCAGCTGTGTCATGGCGAGATGGCTGTGCACAATGCAGTGTTTGTGATTTTATACTGTGTCCGGTTCTGATGTTCAGAGCGTGTTCCTTCCAACTCCCCAGTTTTTGCTCTGTATTACCAGTAATCCCATGTCAGCAGACTGCAGCGAGTATGTTGCTTTCTTTGTCCCATTTTACTTACTTGGAGAGTGTATGCAACTGATATTTATCTCGCTACTTCTTTCTTTCAGGAGAAACTGGAGCACCAGTATGCACAAAGTTACAAGCAAGTGTCATTGTTAGAGGATGACCTGAGCCAGACACGGGCCATTAAAGATCAGCTGCATAAGTATGTGAGGGAGCTGGAGCAGGCCAACGACGACTTGGAACGTGCGAAGAGGTGAAGGCTGCAAACCAATTCTGTCCTTAAAGTTTTCACTAGATCTTTTCTTTGCTGCTCAGATTAATCATGTTATTATTCCTTAAAAGGGAAAGTAACGCACAGTCAGAGAACCCCAAAGAAACCCCAAGACACTTGATCCTTTGAAAAATGCAGTTTACCCTTGGAGTTTACCTCCATCAGCTGGTAGCATTATGTTACAGCAGGAAAGATGGGGGACCAATGTGCCTCCCATTCTTGTGAGAAACTGGCAGTGCAAGTAGGGGCAGAGCAAGCCAGGCCAGAGCGCTGCTTTTGGTACTACCAGCTAGGTGACTCTTATAACATATTTGTGATTCTTGTAGCTCAAAGTCCCTTTGAAGTAAGAAGTGAATGCTTTACATAGTCCCTTTTAAATAAAACAGGCTAAAGGAGTCTTCCCTTGCATAACAGTTTAATGACTATAGGAAGCAAATATGTCCTGTATAAGTGCATGAAATGAACAGGCTGCTGTTAGAAACACCCAATTTTGGAGTAGGTTGTGCTTCCATTTTGCTGAATGGGAATTTTGCCATTGATTCAGTGGGACCAGGAATCAGCCTCTGGCTATCTGGCAAAAAGATCTGAGAGCTGAGGCCCTGTTTCCACAAGGCTCTTAACCTCATGACTCACCTTTGACACACATGAGTTATCCCGCTGAACTCATGGAACAAACTGGGTCTTAGGTAACATCCTAGTGCCCTGCTTTCTACTCTTGCTGGGCTGTGGCCCGTCCAGAGCCCTGGAGAGTACAGCACCACCTCAGCTAGTGCACTGATTAAATATATGGCTTTGTAGCATGGCTTGGGAAAAATGGAGATGGGTGTGCTGGATTGGCTCTTTCCCAGCTCTTTGGTACACCTCTGAGAGCCAGATGCTATCATGTTCTTTTCATCTTATTCCCCTGCTTCTTTGGAGTGTATTAGTCCTTTCTAAGAAGCACTTCCATAGCTTTCAAATTACTAACTTGAATGTAGACCCTGCTAACATTTTTCTTCTATTATGTTTTTGAATACGCTTTTATGTTGGCTGAGCTGGAGAACCTAATATTCTGGATTTTGTTTCTAGGGCAACAATAGTTTCTTTGGAAGACTTTGAACAAAGGCTGAACCAAGCTATTGAGAGAAATGCGTTTTTAGAAAGTGAACTGGATGACAAGGAATCATTGCTAGTTTCTGTACAGAGATTAAAGGATGAAGCAAGAGGTATGGCTGGCTTGATTAGTTCTGTGTCTTGAAGCTAAAAGGAAAAAATTTCCTCATGTGGGCAAAACTAATATCAGATTCATTCAGAATTTTTAACTACAAAAATACTGTGTTCCACAGATGTAACAGAATTGAGGAAGTGTACTTCAAAAGTTCCCACTCACTGTGGTTTAATGCCTTGTACTGGAAAGGAAAGAACAGGAAATGACAGGGAAATACGTGATAAATGGTTAAAGAACTTTCTTGAAAAATCATGTCTCCTGTGTTCTTTCTAAACCTCTTGGAAGTTGCCTGGTTTATTTAAGCTATTTTGGTAAAGACTCTGCTTAGACCTGTGGATCAGAGGTGTTTGGGATAGTGTTCTGGGTTATGATCAGGTCTTGAGAATTCCCCCATGGATTTCACATTGAGGGTGCTGAGGAAACATTTTTTTAATGGTTGGTGGAAAGTGATTTCTCTAATAGTGCGAATGGTATGCTCATAAGCCTGTGCCTGTCATTAATATAGTTTTAGAGATTAGTGGTTTTCAACTTTGTTTCCCAAGTGAATTTTTCTAAAATAATCCTTCAGTTAAGGCCTAGACTCGAGTGCAGGACAGCACACTTGATAACAGGTTGGGATTTTTGGTTGCTGTTCCCCTTTGAACCAAGTTTCTGCACCACAAATCAAAAGCCTTTCTTAGAAGCACGGGGTTTTTATAATAAATATGAAAAGGGAGATCAAGTATTTTGTGAGGAAATATATGTACTGTAATTTGGAGTCGGGGCAATAATACTGGAAAAAACAGCAAACCCTAGGGGACTTGTTTTCTAGAACACTGGAATAATCAGCAAAAAAGACATCTTGTTTCTTGGATGAGTCATTTGGAAATTTTTAGCATTTGTTCAGATAGCAAAGTTACATGTTATTCCCCCCCCGACAGCAAGCAAGAACACTAGCCACTGCAGGAACCAATGTGGTGTCAAACTCAAATATAACATTTCTGATTGAACAGCCACAAATGCTCTTCTAAGGGCTTAGATAGATTTGCATTTCAGCTGTGCTGTTTTACTTGAAATCAGTTCTAAATATTTATGATCATTTAAAAGGCATAATGTACAACTGATTTTGCTCTTGCACATTATACCAGATTGAGGCAAGGAATAAGAGGTCTGTGAAAGATTTAAGTTTACCTACCCAAAAAGGAACAAACCCCTTGTAATGTACTGTATATTTGCATCTAGTCTCTTCTAGGGATTTTATAGATTCATTGCTGAGTTGTGCTAGATGTTCTTTGTAGCAAATACGTGTGGAAATGGGAGGGGACAAGGTAGGGTAAGCAGCGGGCTGGAGAGAAGGGGAGAATAAAACATGGGTTTCCTAATCTCCAGTCTCTTTCCTTGTCATTTGGACCACCCAGCATCTCCAGTCTGCTCTTACACTTGTCAAGGCATCAAGAAACTGGGTACAATGCTTTGACTGCTTTGGCTAGTGTGGAGTGCTGTAGATTATTAACTGGAAGAAGAACATGGGGAATTTGAAACAGAAGAATAGGTCATTCCTCCCTTTTTCCAACCCCTATTGGAGCAGGAGCTGAATGTAGTTCATCAGGTGTTTGTGACCAGCTACAGTTTTTGTTGTATGTTTTCCATGGGACTCACACTACAGATGGGGAAAAATACTGAGGCTAAAAGTCACCCACTGTGCTTGCTGGGACCACGCAGCTCTAGGGTCCAGGGAGGGCTCTGGGTGCAGCCTCTCTGCTCCCAGCTGCGATAGGAAGTGGTGCTGGGCTGTGACTGCTCAGCAGTGGGGTCCTTGCTGCTGCGGAAAACCAGCAGCAGGCAGTTAATACTGGCTTGTTGCAAAGCATTTCTTCCTCCTTCCCAAATAAATAGAGTATTTGTTAGAGAAATCAGTCACCAATAGGTGTGGGGTTTTTTCTTCTTTCTTTTCTCAGACTTACGGCAAGAGTTAGCAGTACGGGAGAGGCAACAAGAAGTCACCCGAAAGTCAGCACCGAGTTCTCCAACTCTAGACTGTGAGAAGATGGATTCAGCTGTCCAAGCATCTCTCTCCTTGCCAGCTACGCCCGTTGGAAAAGGATCAGAAAATAGTTTTCCTTCCCCAAAAGGTATAAGTCATAGAACTGTGTCTAGCTGGTCTGGCAGTGTGTTCAGCTTGTTAACAATTTCAGACCAGGTGCTTGTTAGTGAACTTGAAGTAAGTGTAGGTACATGTGGATCCTACGTGCATTGCATAAAGTGTATTTAAATCCTGAGGCAGCATCAGGTGCATTTAAGGAGTATAATGAGTAAATAGCTTGGAAAAGGAGGACAGTGAAGCTGAGATACTGCTTCTGAGGGGGTGGGGGCTTGCACTCTGGAGTAGATGCCTGCAGTAGAGCACGGAAGACACTTGGGATTTCAGGGAAGTGCAGTGACTGATATTTCTGCTTAAACATGGAGTAGCAGTGGTGGGTGAATGGTGGTCAGTAATTCTGACAGTCCAGAGTCTCTGTTGCTGTATACATGTTTCAGTGATTCTGTTTTCTCTATGAGGCAGCAGGATGTTAGTCCAGTCCCTTTCCCCATCTGCAAAACTCTGGACAATCACAAGGATTAATCCATTATTTTTCAAATTAGAAAGAGTAGATTCCAGAGGAAGCTCTGGCTGGATTAGATGGATTGCAGGCAGTAGCCTTGCAGATGGAGAGTGCATGAACTCTGCGTGTAGGTCTAATGGGAAAGAGGGCAGTGGACAGGAATTAAGATTTTTCCATGGCTAGTGGTCATGTAGTCTATGTGGTATTGTGGGGTAATTGTATCAGGAGTCTGCAGCAGATTTTAGATTTACCTTTTTATGTAGAACTTTTTTTTTTTTTAATGAACTATGGAGGAGTGGAGCATAAAATAAAATAAAATGTGTATGTGTTTGCAGCTATACCAAACGGATTTGGTACCAGCCCCCTTACTCCTTCAGCTAGAATATCTGCACTCAACATTGTGGGAGATCTGTTACGGAAAGTGGGGGTGAGTGCCCTGAACTGAAGCATTCCTAGCCCCGTGCTGCTGTCACTGAGCTTTCATCCTGGTGCGCAGTTACAAGGCCTTGGCCCCTGCTTCATACATGCTGTAGATTCCAAATCATCCACATTCAGTGTTGCTGTTTTTTTTATTTAATTACCTTGATTTGTAAAGCATGTTACTAAGGTTCTGGAGCCAATTTTTGGGTGACAAAATCCATACTTGGGGTAAAAAGTTTCTCAAGCGCTTTGTTATATGGTACTAGACACTGTCAGCTACTTCTTACTTTAGATGTGGCCTCCAGCTTCCTCTGTAATGAGACCAAGATGCAGAGCTGGACCGCAGGCTCTGGGTGCCTGCTGTGCACGAGCAAGGAGCAGAGATCACGCTGCTGGTATCTCCTCATGTGCCTGGGGAGATCTGCAACAGGTGCTGAAAATGGGAAAAAAAAATAATCTAGAAAAAGAAAGTGAGAAAATAAATCAGGAGAAAGCCGAATGTTCCCATCTGTGGTTGATGGGGAAGTGAAACGTGTGAGCCTTTAAAAGGATTACCACTGCAAGTGGGGAGGGAGTGGTTTAAACATCTGTTACAGTGTTGTTTATGATGCCAGGCTTTCCAGTTGAACGAAGACATGACTTTTGAGTAGTGAGAAGCTTGTTGATGTGCCTGAGTGGTTAGTGTTTTGCGTGGAAGCGTGGATAGCCTCCGTGTCTAGTCTCTGGTGCTGGCTTTTCTCTGTCTCTTGTGGTTAACACTGCAAACAGCAATAGCTGCAGTAGAGACAGTTGTTTTAGCAAAGTTTGAAATAAAAAATTACCTCATTGCTTGCATTTGGAACCAGTGAGCTTGTAGTTGGTTTGAAAGAGCAGCAGGACGACTCGGGGTTACGGAGTGACACGTCTAAAATGGGATCATTGTGAGTAAGAGTCTCCAAGGGATTTAGGGAGCTTAATCACAATCCCATGTGATTACTCTGCAAGGACAGGAAATGCCAAATAAGCGTGCTTCTTCCCCAGCCTGCTCTTAGACACCCGCTCTGCCACTGATACAAAATTCCAGCTCGCATATTTGTTTAGTAATAATTATAGGATGTCCAGGATTTCTTTGGGTTTGGTTACTCATAGGATGCCTCATCCCAAGCCTTAGACTCCCTTTCTCCTAAAGACATTTCCCCTCAGCTTTCTTGCTTGCAGCTGAGACGGGGAGTCACTTGGCACAGATTACACTGGCTGTTACCAGCTGATAGGTGCTTTGGGACCACGCGATGGGTAGTTGTTTGTATCTGCCTAGGTACTCACTAGGTAAGCTTACATGGATTTCTAGAATATGACTGTATAGTGTCCACTTACTTCTGATAGCATCTTAGGGCCTTCTTAATGGAATATTTTTTTCTATATGGAACAGGACCAAACCTCGTATTTGGGGAGATGAGTTTTTGTCTCCCATGCACACATTTGCAAGTATCTGAATGCCCCATGCACAGGGTGGATGTAATAGATAGTTGCAAGGCCCTTCTGCTAGAGCAGATGGATATTCAAGTTAAAGCTTGGTTTGTGATAGATGGCAGAAAGGGCATGTCTGATCTGAAGGACAGGATCAGGATTTTGGTGCCCTTCCTGCCGGGAGTCAGTGGATGAGGCAGAGACTGTCAATTCATATAGGGGAACAAGATCTCACCAGGCTGGCTTAGAAATATTAGAGATGAGTTACAGAGCATGGAGATGGGCTTAGCTGCTGCCTTTGATTCCCCCTCCTGATGCTGTGGCTGTAGCACCTCTTGTTCTGAAGCGTAGAAGGCATGTCCTGGGGAAAAAATTTAACTTTCAAATATGCAGTCCCTCATAAAACTTGAGGATTCTGCCTTAGGGTGTCTTAGTTTTCTGATTGGCTTATGCCAGCCTTACTGCAGCTGCTGAAGCAAGAAGTTTTGGTAACTTCTGCTAGGAGTTGGCTTCTTTATTTTAGGTAATTAACTGAGAATTGATAAGTTCTAAAATCTGAGCCCTAATGGAACAGAGTCATGCCTGGCAGTCTGCATCAGCATCTCATTGTGTGGTTGGGTGACAGAGAAAATGACAGCTTTGTTCCCATTCAGTTGTTTTTGCCAAAGGTGATCACACTGGGATCCTGATCATGGTGATCTTGGGGCCATGACAAAGCCTGAATTCAAGCAGCAAAATACTTTCTCTTAACAGTATTACTTTTTTGACTTTTTCTTTTTTTTTCCCCTCTCATAGGCCTTAGAATCCAAATTAGCTGCTTGCAGAAATTTTGCAAAGGACCAGGCATCACGGAAATCCTACATTTCAGGGAACGTTAACAGTGGCATGATGAACAGCAACGGCACAAAGTACCCTCACCCGGGGCACACTTCTTTCTTTGACAAAGGGTAAGTAAGGATATATTTTTGCCCTAAAGTGGAGTGTGTTTCAGGATGCTACTTGGAGCAGTTATTCTTGGCTTGTCTTCAGCCCACCACAGCTTTCATCCTGTAAGACAAATAATTTGTGAAGCCAAAGTCTCAGGGGGACAGGGAAGGTGACAGTGCTGAATTCTGTAAAGCAAACAGAAAAGCAAGCGTGCTTGTCTCTTAGCTGGTAGGATGTCAGTGCCTGTTCTGTCCCTTTGCTGCCTAATCTTTTGGCAGCTGCATCTCTGGTAATTCAAAACTCCAGGCAGCAAACCAGCTAGTGAAGTGAACGTGCCCTTTGAAAGGATCTCAAGTAGTGGTGGAGTTGCCATAGCTACTGGTGCACTCCTGCGTGGGGAAGTACATTAACCACAAATCTGGAGATTCCCTTGGTGAGAACAGCTGAGTGCAGGCAGAAAACGCTGACTTGGAGGGTGGTGCTCTGTTTGTTCTGCTTCCCCCTCTATTAGGGGAAAATAAAACGTCATGAACGGTGTAATTCTGGCTGATTGAGGGGGCAATTGCCTCCAGGCTGGCTGTGCTGTGCGTCAGCCATGAAGCCAGAAGCTGATTTCACAGGAAAAACTAACCCATGTGTCTCCTCTGACTCGCCTGTGGTCAAAGCTTCCCCTGGGATACCAGGAAGTGGTTCAGCAGGAGGATTTTCCCAGAGTCCCTTGTAGCACAGGGCCCTGTGGTTATGTGGGGAGCCCTGAGGAGTGGGGCAAAAAGCTCCAGGGTTAGCACGGTGGTACTGCGAGCTTTGCTGGGTGCCACTGGGCAAAACACCCTCCACGCTCCCAGCACAGTGGTAGTCTTCCACATTAAACCTCAAGCCAGTGCAATTTAATGCTAATATTCAGCTCATCCTCAACCCAGAACTTATTTGAGAGAATTAAATGAGCTGTTACCAACCTATGAGTGCCATACACGGAGCAGACAGGCTGAGCTTCCTACAATAATCCTCGTTTGAGCTGAATTGTGTTGCTACGTGGGTAGCAGGGCACATTGCATCTTAGAAACTGTCATTCGGAGTTTTTAGAGCCACTGTTGTTTGCTGCTTTTGGAAGGGAAGAGTTTGGAGACTAAAGTCAGTGGCCATGTGCAAATTGGACAGACTTCTGTGTTGTCTGGCCAGGTCTGTGCCTCCCCACAGCAGCCCTCACACTGGCAGTGCACAGGCTGTGTTTCAGGTGCAAGCTCTCAGGGTAGTAGCTAGGGAGAGATTATAGCTGTTCTTAGGAGGCAGCATGGCTATATTGAGTTGTGGTGTGACGAATAAGCTGATTGTGATGTGGGGTGGGGGTCAGTTATCCAGATTGTCATCACACTTGTTATCTGGGCTGGCTGCCTCAAGTAAGGAGCAGGCTGCAGCTGAAACAGGCTTAGAGACCCAGCCTCCTGAAAGAGAGCTTCTACAGCGGGGTTGGAGGTGGTTATGGGATAGAAAAGGGGGTGGAAATGACTGATGTGCTTATCTGCAAGTGTGGCCCTGCTGCCCTGCCCTCCCCCTCTGCACCCCCACATGGCCCCCGCCTCTCCCCCTGCTCCACTTTGCTGTCCCTGCCCAGGGTGAGCGCAGTGCCTGTGCTGTGTACGCGTCTCCGCGGCTGTTAGGTAAATAAAACGTGTATGATTTTGTCCTCGCATGTAAGCTAAGCCAAGCTGTTACCTCCATGAGGCCAGCCCCATCGTGCCCGCGCTGCGGCTCCCAGCCCTGCTGGTGGGCGGTGGGCCCAGAGCACGCTGCCGTGGCTGGGCACGAGGCGCTGAGTCGAGGCGTGCCCTGTCTTCTCCCCTCTCCTCCTCTCTCTGCAGCCCCTGAGCTCTTCTCCCTGCCCCTACCTGTTGCTGGAGCCTGAAGCAGCCACATGTGATTGTAGATCTCATCCAATCTGCAGCCAGGTTGCTGGGTGGTAGGATTGCAACAGAGATAACTCGGCCACATCACTGCAGTTCCGTTTACTTTCCTTCCTCTGCTATTTTATCAGTTAAAATGTTTGAGGAGTCTCCATCTCCCATCAGACACCTCTGCTGGCTGAGTGGAGCTGAGCAGGCAGCTGAAGACACTGATAGGCAGGAGCTGGCATAGGGGAGCATCACTTTAGGGGAGGCCTGGAGGACAGCTGGGCTTGCACTGAATCTGTGCTGGAGAATTGGAAGAGTCAGGACTTACCTACTTGTTTTAAAACTCAGAAATGTCTGGTATAAGATCAGTTTCCTGCAGACTTGTTCCTTCAGGAACATGCTGTTTCTATCTCGATGCCAGGGCATGGCAGAACAGCACCTGAGGATGTTCTCAGATCCTTGGTTTTTTGCTGTTGTAATTGTTCTAAATTGGCTATTAACTTCGATCCAGTTGGGGAACAAAATGTCTCTGACCTTGATGGGCTCTGCAGAGACCTGGCACTTCAACAGCAGAGCTGAGACAGCACATGAGCCAACATGGGGTGTTTGCTCCTCAGGGCATTAACATTCACTCTTTCCCCACTCCCCTTCCTACACTCTTGAATGTCAGAGGACGTGATGTTTATCCTTAGTTTAGTTTTATGATTGTGTTGGGCTTTGGTTTAATAGAACAAACTAAAGTTTTGAGTGTGAGAAGTGCTTTTGCTTCCGTACTTCTAGCAGTCCTGTGAAGCATGTAGTAAATCTACACAGTGGGCACAGTTGCCTACATAACACATCAGGCTGTGAACTCAGGGTGGTCTTTCTGTTCGCTAGTCCACTTTATAAAAAAAGTTTCCCTGGAAAAGAGGGAACTGTGGATAACTCAGATGCAGGTGAGTAATCCCAAATGCTGTACTGTGCTTTGCAATGCTCTAGGCTTTCACCTGGGTCGTGGCTTGTGGCAGTGCAGTGTGGTGGGAATGCTGGTGTGGCTGCAGTAGGACCTCCCCACACACGCCTGCAGAGCAGCCTCGTTATGCAGAGGTCAAAGAGGAGAGGTCTGGTGAGGGTTAGTTTAACACCTTTGCTGTGCCTCAGTTCTTGCATCCTGGATTATGCCCAAGAATGTCTTTATTGTATGCATAAACTGTTTCAATTTTTCTCCACTAGGCGTGAAAAGGTCATATTCCCCACCTTGGTCATGGGTAAATGAATTCATTTGCAATGATAAGCTGCATGCATTTTAACTTGGTGCTTGGAGGTGCAGAGTTGGTTATGCTAACTGCATGAGGTAGTTCTGTTAGCACTACAAACTAATAGTCCATGATCAAAGCCTGAGGCTATAATCTCCCTTTCACCTTACTCCTCTGGTGCTGTGACCTGTTGCAACCATGAGATTGAGTGCTTCTTGCTTTCCTGATCTAATTAATATTTCTTCAAATGCATGTTTCTGATTGTATCAGCCACATCAGGTACAGGATAAAGTATTGCTGCCGTTAATGTAGTTAATTTTGAAAGTTAGTTTACCCTTTGGTTGTGTCTTTCCCTCAGTGGCTTGTTGGCTATCGGCTTGCGGGTGCTGGGTTGCCGTGGCTCTGGCTAACGGAAAGCAAAGAAAGGCCCAGATGTGCTGGGAGCCGGCCAGGGTTCCGGAGCAGGGGGAGGGACAGCGTGTGGTGCCCCTGCTCGTTGTCACCACCCCTGCCCAGCTCTGCCGGGGCAGCTGGAAGTGCCCAGGGTGACACGGTGGTGCCAGCAAAGCTGTGCAGGTACCAGGGTCACGGGCTGGTGGGAAGGGACGTGCGGCCCCTGGGCTGGCCCAGGCACGGCCTGCAGCGACCAGGGGTAGGACTGGTCTCACTTCCCTCCTCTGGAGGGTTCCTCGTGCTGTCAGAAAGCGCAGGTCCCTACCAGCCTGATCTGCCACAGCCTTGCCCCATCCTCCTGATGTCTCTGTGCTGGGTGTTCCTCTACCTCCTTGTGCTGTTACTGCTGCTTGGGAGAGTAAACGCAGTGTTTTAAAGCACTGACCTGCCTAAAAGCTCGGTTTTCCTCTTGGTTTCTTGTGGGGCTGGTCTCCAGGTACACTTTGACCACGTCCATTTACTCCTCAGGCTGGACTATTCAGCTTCAGGAGAATTTCTGCTGAGGTTTTGTTGGATACGTAATGTTGAGGGAGTCTTGGTGATAAGGTGCTAAGTACAAAATACAACTTGAAATACAATTTAATGACGAAAAATCTGTGTTTAGCAATCAGGGCAGAGGGAGCAGTTGGAGAGGGGCACAAAGTCCATGTAACCGCAGGGACCCGCAGTCAGAAACCTCCATCAGAAACCCTGCAGGGGATGTTTTCAGCAGGGACTGGTGCTTTTGGCTCCATTTGACGCACCGGAGCCCGGTTTCACAGGAGGCACAGAGCAGGTTGGGTGGGGCCTGAGGGATGGGGAAGAAGGCAGAAGCAGGAGGCAGTTGGTGTGGCTGGGATGAATCGCTGCAGGTGTCCAGGCCGCCAGCAGCAGCGGCTGCGTGCAGCGGCCCCGCAGCGTGCCAGGCCTGGAGCGGGGGTGTGCTCCTCCCGGCGCTGCCCCAGTCCTTGGAGACTGAACTCAAGGACTTCTCTTCGCAGCTCACTTGTGGGAGGTTAGGCAGGAGGCTTCCACCACATTTTATTTGTTGTTTTTTACAGTTGCACTGTTTAGTGTATTTTCCTTTAACTGCAGTAATGCTGATTTGTTCCCTTTTTTCATGCCTTTTTATGTTACCAACAGAAATCCATGGCTGGGTAACACCTCAGTGAGCTCAGCCATCATGTCAGCTTTCAGTATCCCCCCAACTGCTGCTACTATTTGAAGCCTTTTCCTGTGCCCCACTTACCGAACTGGCTTTCAGCAAATCAAAGCCACTGCTTTATCTTGATATCTGCACCAAGGGCAAGTTTAGGCCAGCAGGATGCAATGAACAGTGCAGGTACCTGACTCCAGGAGCACTCTGCGCTGCCTTCCTGCTTTATTTTTTTTTATTAGCAAACAATGGGAAAACCTCAAAAGGCTTCTAAATGAGGTTTCTATCTTTAAAGTGTTCAGCAGGAAGAATCCCCATGTCTCCCTTGTGCATTGTAGCGAGCACTCCACATCTTCAGCTGGTTAACTCTTGTAACAACACAGAGCACTCATCCTCTTGCTGCCCTGGCTCTGCGATGGGCCTTGGTCTCCCTGTTTCAGGCATCACTGGATTATTTGTGACACAGGGGATTTAGGCAGAGTCCTGTAATGTCCGTGTGGCATCTGTGCTGAGCCCTGATGGCTTCATGGCTTCTGGTCTTGTTTGTGCACCTCTAGGAGATGGAAAAGGGCATCCACTGCTACACATGCCTCTGCAGGAGCTGAGGAGGGTTAGAGATGTGTAGCTTCATTTAAGAGAAGCTGCCCGCAGAGGCAGGTCTGTCGGATGGCAGCAGCTCTGGGCAGCTGTTCTCCCCACAGGCAGAGCTCAAGTGCTGCAAACCCAGTTTGGGAGCAGTTGTTGCCTCAGAAACAGCAATATTTGAAGAAGTTTGTACTGCTTGATTGGGCTTGTCCCTGGCACAGTGCGATGTGCTAACGCCACACGTTGGGTTTTGGTTCAGAAAGGTGGCGGCAGGCAGGCAGGGGATGCCTGGTGGCGGGGAAGGCACCTTCCCGGGCGCAGGGGGGATGAATGCGCTGAGGTCTGAGCACTGTGGGGACGTGGCCCCTCCTGCCCGGCCTCATGCAGTGCTGTGGTTTGCTGGGTTGCACGGACTGGCTGTCTGGGGGGCGATGGCACTTGCTACAGCCTGAAAGGGATGAGTTGTGGTCCCCAGCCTGCCCGTCCCACGGCGCTGCGGAGAGAGGTGCTGTCCCAGCCGAGCTGCGGACCCAGCCGGCCTGACCAGGGCGCTGGCACTGCCCGGGCACCGTCCCACAGCCTCGGTCACAGAGAGTGGCTCTGAACTTAGTGCAGGAAACGTGACAAATCCCTAGAGCTTGGCTTTGACGGGACTCCTCAAACACAAGCACTTCCAGGCGGCTGGTTGAGTGTCACTTTTCTCTAACCCTTTCAGAAGGGAGCAAGCTACCACGTTTTAATCCTGTTTGATGTTGGTGTTAGGTTTTGGGTTTTGTTGGTTTTCCTCCCTGTCCTACTTGGCAAAGATGCTTTCTAGCTGATAACTGATTTGCAGAGTCATGTCAGGATCAGGTTGGCTTCATGCCCCTTCATTCAAATGCGAAGAGTGAAATACCTCTGCCCCTAAGCCTCTTCCAGCAGCTTTTTATTGCGTGCAGCCAGGGAGGCGCTTGCCTTTTGAAATGCATCAAAGCAACACTCAGATGGGAGTTGAAGTTTCCAGCTTAATAGGCAGAAGGTGGGAAAGGTGGTTTCTCCCTGCTCTGACCCTGGTGCTAGGACGTGCTTCAGGCTGTGCTAGTGTGGATGTTTAACAGCAAAGAGAGAGAAAGGAAACAGCCCGGCTCTGCACGGCACTGAGCTGCGTTACCATGGCAATCTGTCCTTTCTAGCAAATGTTGAGATTTTAGCTCTTCATTCTGGAAGGATTTTGTAACTGCCCAGTGCAGCGGCAGCAGCTTCTGGGTTTGCTGGCAGGGTTTTTGCATTCCCCATCCAGGAGGTGCAAGGTCACGGGTGAGCAGAGCGCTGCTGTGAGGGAGAGGGAGCGTGGAAGCGGCACCGCTGTGTCCTGGAGACGCTGCCGTGAGCTGCGTGCCTGTGAGCTGGTGGCACACGGGTCCCCTGGGCTCCTTCTCAGCTCCTCTGAGCCCGAGCCACCAGCTCCCGGGCTGGCTTTTTCCTCATCGGTAGAGCCCTCACTTTTCCTTCTTGCTTTTCCTTGCTGCAGCTGGCTGATCTAACCAGCAGCAGCTGTCCCCTGCAGTGTCCCTTTGCACCATGCTGTAGTTCTGCCAGGACTGATCCAAACGGCATCTCCTGGCGTGCTCCTGGTTCTGGCAGAGCTGTGGAAGCTCCCTGGGAGCAGGCAGGTGTCGAGGCAGGGACCTGCCCTGCTTTGCAGGGGTGTGGGGGTTCTCCCCCACCTTCTGATTGCAAACCTGACCATGAGGACAGGGTGCTGGTTCTGAGGGCGGCCACGCTGTCCTGATACAGGAGTGTAATTGCTTCTGGCTGTCAAGGCTGTGGTGGTGGTGGTGATCAGCAGATGGTGAGCCTGGGCAGATGCTTTGTGTTGAGCCTAATTACAGAAGATCTGTCAAAGCAGCAACAGAGTAGAGAAGGAAAAGCTCCACATGCTCCTCTCCCAGCCCACCAGGAAGCCGGGTTCTCCACACCTTCGCCTCTCCCTGCAGCCTGGGGAAGGGGGGAACCCACGGATCCCGGGGGTGTGGAGGCACCTGGGGCTCCCGCTGCCCCCCAGCCGGGGGGGTGTAGCAGAGAGGCAGCTGCTGCACTGTAACGTGCTCCCGCTGCTCCAGCCGAGCCCACGCACCTGTGTCTGTCCCCGTGACTGGGCAGAGCTCGTGTTGCTGCCCGTGGGGCACCCAGGGAGGTGGGTGCAGCCACCCCTGGTGCTGCTGCGCTCCCCTGTGGGAGGGTGCCACAGTGCTGCCTGCACAGCCCCGGGGTGTCCGCAAGGCTCAGGGAAGGGGCAAGGGGAGCTGGTGGGGGGACCGAGCCTGCAGCATGCCTGGGCCTAGGCCTGCGGCTGCACAGCACGTAGACCCAGGGGCTGCGTGGGGGCCACTTGTCCTCCCTGGGCCAGCTCTGGGCAGGGGGTTGACCTGCGTGTCCCTGGCTGTGGGTGAGCACTCATCCTCACAGCCGGAGGTGGGAGCCCTCTCAGGGCGTTATCAGCCCGGGTCCCACACCCACCGAGCAGCTGCTGTACAGTCCGGGTGACAGGTGTGGGGAGGAGGGAGGAGCGGGGTCTGTCTGTCTGCCAGCTGCTGGTGATGGGGAGAGGTGAGCAGTGCCACCTCCTGAGCTGCTGGTCACTTAACGGCCTATCTCTTCTTTCTCAGGGCAGTAAATGGCTTTGATCAAGGTCCCCCTGGCCTGGGAGCCTCTCGACCATCCTCAGCGCCTGGCATGCTCCCCCTGAGCGTATGAGCCTGCAGGAGGTCGTGTTCGGACTTGCGGACGCTTTTTTCAGCCCACCAAGAGAAGAACTGCTCCCGATTCCTCCCCATTCCCGCCCTGCTGGAACACGACCTGCACCGTGCTGCCAGAGGCCACCCTGTGCTCACGGCCCTTCATGTCATGTTAATACAGTTTATTTTCTCCTGTTGCCGTAGCAGACAGTCTCTGACTTGGCCCCAGACCCTGTGCTGTGCACGCTGAGCCACGCAGTGCTCTGTTTCAGGAGATGCAGGAGCCTTGCTCACCAGACCTGGGCCAGGCAGTCCTTGGCCCCTTGATTTCTCTCTAACGTAGGTTTGGTATGACACAAACGTTGGCTGCTCCTCTTAAAGGCTCCCCTGCCCCCTGCCCAGCCGCTGCCCTCCCGCTCAGGCTCAGCCCCCTCACTGGGGCCAGGCTGAGGCTGGGGCATGGTGCGTGTGGGACATTCACACCCAGGAGTCGGGTCCAGGTACATGAGTCAGTTACTGCAGCTGAATCGATCACCAGGCAGGTGCTGCTGTGTGTCCGTCTGCCTCCTGCCGGGGGGGTAGTGGGCAGGGGAGGACGCACGAATCCTGCAGCCCTGCGGGGGCAGGCGGGGGGGTGCTGGGGGGCAGCACGCATCCATCACACCATCACATGCCTTACCGTGAGCTGGCGGGGGGGGCATTGCTGAAGCCTCCTCCCTCGGCGCTCCTGCAGCTGCAGGGCAGTAAGTGGGCAGCAGCTGTAGGGCGCTCATGGTGCCTGTAGCACAGCTCCACCCTCCCCCCACCCATACCCCCCCTTCAGCAGTGAAACTACACCCCCCTCCACAGCCGGGGCTCCTCATCCAGCTGGCCCCAAGGCCTGTGACCCCCTGGCCCCTGCAGCCATGGTCCCATCTGTATTATAGGACTGGATTTTACAGCACCACCTACAGGCTTCTGTGACAGTTTTGGGCGACTGTGTAACCGTGTGGGTCTTTCAAGCAACGTATTTGTGCGATTTCTCTGTCTACGTGCCTCAGAGTTGGTGGATTTTTAAAATGAACCAGCAAACCCAGCCAGGGTTTGATCTGTGAGTTTAGAAATCATCGTTCCTGGCCTGGTCCATCACGTTCCGTTGGCTCTGCAGCTCCAAGTTGGTTTAGTTACAGGTGCTGAGACAAACCCCTCAGCTCCAGCAGAAGGGAGGGGGGAGAGCCCCCCCTTGCCGTGAGGGTTTGAATGGTCCTTTCCTGTGCATCCTCTGCTGCATTTGACTGTTTACATTTGTTTTATTGTACATAGGTTTGTAAACATAGTATCTTTGCCTAAGATCTTTGTACATAACTTGGGCTTTGTAGCTTTATTTATTCAAAATCTATATGGCATGTTTCAATAGGACAGTGTACCACACCACCATGGTGACACAGATCATGATGTGGTTTAAAAAAAAGAAATCAGAAACAAATGAGACTACTCTTCCAAAAATAAAGTTCTTTTAATGTGAAATCAGTGGATTTTGCAGAAACGGTGGCAGTAGCTGTATTTTGTCATGAAATGTTCCCTGCAGCTCCTGCTCCCCTCACCCTGGGGCTCCAGCTGCCCTCGAAGGAGGATTTTTGCCTTCTCAGAGCCACTGAAAGGTGTTTCCTCAGCAGCACTGCAGGGCCAGGCTCAGCTCTGGCTCAGATGCCCCCAAGTCCCCACACTGGAGCCCCCCCCAGCACACCCCATCCCTGACCAGCTCCTCAGGGGTGTGGGGTCACCCCCCAAAAACCCCCAGGTCAGAGGGGGTTGTTCTCACACAGCAGGAAAGCCCCTGTCAGCACCACCACCACCCCCCCCAGGAGCAGGAGGCACCAGCTGCCCTCTCTCACCCCATTTTTACCCCCATCTTCTCCCTCCCAGCCCTGGGTTTCCAGCCAGAGCCCCAAGAGGGCCATTAGACTTCAAAGGCAAATTCATGCTGTATTCAGGACAAAATAAAATAAAAAATCAACCCAAACAAACAAAAGAGGAAGAAGGGAAAAGGCAGCTTCCAGTCATAGTCTTGTTTATTAAGGTCTATGCCAGCCTCAGGAGATAGCTCTTCCGGTAAGTAAACAGAGCAGGCGGCCGCATCTATAATGAATAAATTTATTGTCTTACAAAAATCATTGTCTAGAAATATGGGTATACAAGAAAACAAGATATTTGCAGTCAGATGCCTGGTGGTCAACAGCCAGTTTGATTAAAAATATCCAAACACACACAACAAAACCTTTGCGACAGATGTTAAAGCTTTTAACCAAAAAAAAAGAAATCCATGTTTCTTGAGCATGTGGCAGAGGAAGTTTCCTAGTTAACACTGATTCATTGTCACTAATATCAATAATACCACTTGGACTAGAGAGGTACATGATATGAAGCACAGTCAAAATTAATACATTAAATCAGTTATATAGGCAAATTATATATGTAACATTGTCTTAGTACTGTAGTGTCTAAGGCACTTTCTGTAATGTCAGTTTTTCAGCTATTTAAACAAAAAGAACGCTAACTACTCACTGTAATACTGTTCAAAAAAAAAAAACCCAAAACAACAACAACAAAAAAAGGATTCACATCCACTGGCATGTTAACTCGTAGGCAGGCACCATCCACGGCAGCCCCGTGGCGGGCCCGCGCCAGCCCCCTGCTGCCCAGACACCTCCTCTCACCCTGCAGCCGCTCGGCTCCACGTCCTGAAGACTAACTCGGCCATAAATTAATAAATTAATTTTGCCTGTGTTGTATGTTTATTTTCCACTGGTGTTCACATTATACTAGCCTTAATATATATACAGGTCTGTCGGGCAGGGTAACAGCAGGTCTCTACAAACGCAGAAGTACTGTACAGATGAGGAACGGCGATGCTGTCTCAGTCTGCCTGTACTGCAGGAACACTAACTGATGAGCAGGTGCTGAGAACACTTCAAAATGATACTGCAGGTTAAAAATGGACACTACTCGTTCATCCCTACATTTCCCTCTAACCCTTTCCCAAGGCCTTTTCACATTTCACTCGCTGATTGTGTGCTGATCACAACAATTTAGGAGAAAAGAAAGATACAGGTGCAGTTTGGTCTTCAATGATCCAACAGACTCAATACAGCCCAGGGCCGCCTGAGCACGGAAGAAATGGAAGGATGCTGTCTGTACAACAAAGCATGCATAGTCATGACAATGGGTCTGTCCCAACCACCTACCCTCTGGGAATGAAGTTTCTGTATTGATAAAAAAAAAAAGTTTCATCCTTCACATGATGCTTTATAAAATGGCTTTACAATGAGTATCTGGAAAATAGATGCACTGAACAGAGACGATCCCATTTTGTTCACTATATATAAAAAAGCAGTTGTACCTATATCAGAAGCAGGGTACAGTATGGTGAGGCTGGAGAGCCTTAAGACATAGTTGACCTATGATAAGTAACCTTGTAGCATGCCGACGTGTCGTAAGGCAGATTTACGGCCACAAGGCAGTTGGGTGGTCAGGAAAGTCCTCCTCCTCCTGCCGACTCTGGTGTAAAAGGTCTCTGCATGCAAACGGTGTGATGGGCTCTACTCCGCGGGGGCCGGCTGTGCTTCGTTCACGTCGCTGCCTTTGCTCTCGGCGTCGTCGTCCGAGAGCTCCAGAGAGGCCCCTTCGATGTGCAGCTGGCGCCTCCCGGATCGACTCGAGGAGAAGGTGATGGGCCCCCCCCTCCTGCCAACAAGCAGCAGACAGGGATTGCTGCTGGGTCACGCCTCGCTCACAGCCCCAGGAAGACCCTGCTGAGCCACGGGGGAACGGGGCCACCACGGGGGAACGGGGCCAACCTCACACCCAGTGTCTTCAAACCCCCGCTCTGAGCAAGGGGTCAACGTGCCAGGCGCAGGCACGCTCTGGTATTCCTGCTTAGTTGACACTATCACCTTAATTTTGCAAGTCCCAAGTAACTTAAAATATTCTCTGTACAAGCACAGACCAAGTACTAACTAGAGCAGGTTCTCTTAAAAAAATATCAACTGCCTGTTTGTGAAGCACTGCAGCGCTCCTGCCATTCCGACCAGCAACCAGCTCAGCCCCCCTCCACCTCTGGAGGTGGTTTCTGTTCTGCAGCAGCCTCACTGCTGCTGACTCCCATCTGTACATGACACAGACCTTGATCTCCAAGATCTGCTCTCAAGAAAAATGCTGAAAACACTCCCACCAGGACAGGTCAAGAAAAAAGGGATCAGTACCAGTCCCTGGAAAAGCACAGCTGACCTGACTGTCATGTTTACCTATGGCTGGATTGAACTGGCAACCCCCAGGAACCTGCCAGCGTAAGTTCTGAGGAGTTCAGGCTCAAGTTGTAAGGAATATCCCTGTGCTCTGGCAGCTTCCTTCAGGCTCAGGCAGCAGCTCCCAGCAGGCTCCAGTTTGACCCATTCCCTAACATCAGAGGCTCTGCTGCTGCAGCTCCACAGCTGGATGTTCCCCAAGGACACAGACTGCGGGCCCCCAGGGCTTGGGCAACCCCCCGCCCACTGCCACCAGTGCCACTCACCTTAGCCTGTTCTTCAGGGTGCTGACCTCCCGGCTCAGGCCCTCGTTGGCCTCTGTGGCATCATCCAGCTCACGCTGAAGTTTACGTCGGGAAGCGTTTGCACGTGTGGCTTCCTCTTCAGCCTCCTCCAGCTGGCGTTTGAGCTGCTTCATTCTGGCATTTGCCTTTTCCATCTAAAATACAAAACCAGGTACTTGGAATCAAACTAGGCAGCTGCAACTCCACGACTAGGGCCCAGCTAACACAGCCCTCCCCAACCACCCCAGCTGGGGACAAGGTGTCAGCCTGGACGGGCAGAAACACTGCAGAGAGCTCCTGGGTCTGGGAGACCAGGATGTGTAACAGATCACACCAGGGCTAACACAGGGAGGTTCTGACTGCTGGGAACTGCTCTCGTGGTTTGGTCATCCAGACAAGACTCCATTCGATCTTAAAATACTTCTTAACAAGCCCTTCCTACTCCAAGTATGGGTTTATTTGCCTTGTCCGAGAAGCAGGCCTCAAAGTGTAAGCCCTTCCACCTACCTGCTCCTTGTACTGGTCTGCGTGTCGACGCTCATCCTCCACCTGCATGAAGACTTCTTTCAATTTCTTCTCTGTACGACGGACCAATTTGTTAGCAGCTGCTCTTTCCCTAAAAATAATCAAAAGCATAATCTGTCCCAGTATTTGAAGGCTGGGAACACAAGATCTGTCCTTTTTGAAAGGCTCTGGCCCCACTGTGTAACTGATACTCGAGTCCTCCTAACACACTGCCACCATCAACAGAACCAACTCAGTTTTGGTGTGCCAGTGGTTGGCTGGGGTGCAGCTTCGAAAGCACAAAGTCTTAGCACTGGAGCAATACGAGTATGGTGCGCCAGCTGAAACGAGGGATAAGGCGGCGCTTCTTCACAGTAAGATGGAACAGAGCAGCTTTAAAGTTACTGCTAACCAGTAACACGGTCTGCAGAGTCAAAGCACAGAAAGAACAGATGGTGATACAACAAGTCCACCTTCAGACTCTGGGAGCAACTAGATGAAAAAAAGGTATTTGGAAGACCAAGATGGCACAGGTAGACAGGAAGAGCTCCCTGCAGAAAGAATTCTGCAGATCATAGGATCCATCTCAAGCTGTCATGCCTAAGCTGTGGCTTCCTCTAACAAGAGACCAGGTGTCTCAAGGGGATGTTCCACCTTGTCTCAAGAAATTTCCACAGCACCTTGGGGATCCTGTGACTACCAGTCAACACAGCTCTTGAAGTTAACCACATGGATAATTCAGCAGTTTCAGTTATGAAGCAAATAGATTCTGAAACTCTGAACCCCAGTTACTTTACAGCAGTCTGGTTAAAGTGTGTCCCCTAAACAGTGGGTTTCCAGATAACAGACCCTAGTGCCTGTGCTGTAAGCTCACAGCTCAGCCCCACAAACACTTCAGGCATGGAGGTTTCAGACATTCAATTGATAGAGAAAACACAGGCAAGCATATGGGTTTTTTTTCCCCTTACTTGGCTTCCTGCTCAAGCTGTTCTTCTAGCTGCACAATCTTGGCTTCTAGAGTAGAAATTGTTGCCTTGAACTTAGACTTCACAGATCCCTCCAGTTCCTGCAGCTTGGCTTTCAGCTCTTTGTTCTGTCTTTCCAGCTGCTGCCGGGCATTTTCACTCTTCTGGGCAGCACTCCGCTCCCCAGCAAGCTCAGAATTAAGCGTGTCAACCTTTCAGAGGAGAATAGAAGATCATTTGGTGCTATTCAGAGCCGCCACCTACCCACACGCTGAAACAGATTGCCCCTACAGCATTGCCAACAAACGGATTCACCTGCAGTGTAGTCTTTCGGAACCGCTCATTGAGAAGCTCCATGTTGCTCTGCTCTTCCTCGAGCTCTTCCTCCAACTGTGCAATACGAGCTTCCAGCCGGCGCTTCTCATCCAGCAGCGCTGACCTAGAAAGGAAGTATTTGGGTCAAGACA